GGAAGGAATTTCGTCTTCCTATCTATAATAGCAACACGAATAGGAACGTGGGTGCAAAGCAAAATTTGGAAGGAAAAGGTTTTCTTGGGCGACATTCAGCAGTAAGTAGTAGAAATATGTTGTCACGCCGGTAATGCAGACCTCTGAGCCTATGCTCTCAAAATCGAAAAAGACTACAATCGGGGTCAAATACCACCAAAAAAAGCTTATTCCAGCCATCATGACCATCTAGACTCACTTCGAATCAAAAACAATGCAATAGAGGATTAAGGTAAAAAAAACTCTTTGCTATCACCCCTGAAAAAAAAACTACCCAAAAAACTACCTTCCCTTTGCCTTACATACAAAATACCATACAAGGAACAAAGCTAGTAGGCGCTGTGACCAAGAGCAGCAGTTCGGCAACTTAACCTTTCTTCTACCAGTAACATAACGTGGCAACGTTTGAAAAGGCAGACTTACCTTTTTGATCGTGTAGAGCATGACGAATGGAAAACTTCCTAGACCTTGAGGTCTTATTTATATGCCGTACTGTCAGCGTTGGACCACCCGCTGTGAAGCGAGAATAGATTAACGATGTTCGATAATATCAGTAGTAAAAGTGCGTCAACGATTACGGTAGCGGAGATGAGTCATTGCACTGAACAGATGCGCTTGCCAAGAAGTTAATGGCTCCACAAAAGAACGTTGTGGTGAATTCCATTGTGATGAAATATTGAAAAAGGGAGCTTAGGAGAATCGGCGAGAAAAATCGAGCTTTTAGAAGGAAGCTCATACACCCCCGTAGATTCAAATCTACCAAAACAGTGCAAACTTAAAGAAAACCTTTTACGCAAATTCACCCGACCCTGCGCCATAAGGGTGAGATTCTTTGAAAGTATCTACGATGAAGTCTGAACTGAACTGATTATGAGTGACAATAGATTAAAAAGCATTCCCGATAGAATGAAAAACCTTGACCACTCGCAAAATTTGTTAATCATATTGAAAAAGCTTCAATGGGCGGAAGTGGTGTGGGCAAGTGGCGCGCTTACCACGCGAGCGGTCCGGGATCAAATCCTGGGTCGTGAGTCGCCCGGGCCAACCAAGCCTTCCATCCCTCCGGGGTCGGTTAATTGGTACCAGACTTGTCTGGGAGGATAAAAACACTGACTTGTACATCGGCTGGCCCCCAAGTCATTGTATAGGCCACATCGCATTCAAATGCCACTACCATTCTGAATGGATGCAGAATGCATGGCGCATCCCAAAATGGGATTAATTACCAACGAATGCTTTAGCTTTTTACTGAAACAGTTTCCATATGAAGAAAGTAGTCTACAAGCAAAAGCAAATAGCATACTAAGTCGTGCTTATTTTAGTAGTGATCGGCATTACGTGAATCGGACTCTTTGAATGCTGAACAGCAGAAGCGGACTAAACAAATTCTATTTAAACGCATAAAAGCGACGATTTACACATAGTGTGGCATCAAAGATCAGGAGAAGCTGACCCTGCATGCCTACAAAGTTTCTACTAAGCCAAAGAAAATTCAGATGGACAGCGTTCCTCAAATGAATCAGTTCTTCGTGAAAACTTCTAGTACTTGCTGTGAAGCTCTCATGTTTATCTTTTTCGAAAAACAGGAGATGAATACAAATAGACCAGAACTATTTCTAGACCTCACCCCCATTTTCACTTGGAACCAAATTATGATACCCTTCAGGTGGAAAGAAAGGAAATGATTACTCACAGGGACACTTCGAAATCTTCCGAGGCAGCCTCGCTGGTTTACGCCCCATCGAAGCGAAAGTTGAATCAGACGATGAGGCTGGGGTGAAACGGGTTCCCACCGCTGACAAAGAACGCGTCAATAAAAACGAGGAAAACAACCGCGTTGCGATTGGGTGGCCGCGCGTGAGTGACAATCATTCGCTTTGACGTCGTCGTTGAAAAAGGTCTGGAAATTGCAGGGTAAGAAAAAAGCATCACAAGCCAATCAAAAATGCGATCAACTCTAATGAACAAATGGGCGCGGTGCAAATGTATCTCCTCATGAGGTGCGGACGCTGGACTTCAGTACTGTTTCCTCTCTACCATGCTGTGATTGATTGTATTACAATCGGTCACGGGAATTGCTGATAATTAGACCCAACAGATGTCATGTCGAACCAAATAGTAAAAATGTGGGCCAACTCAATAGCAGAAGAAAACACATAAGTCATAGGGAATCGTCTATGCCACACACCAGAACGGAGCAGTGAACAAGTCCACCGTCGCCTATGGGCGAAATGCTGTTCGTTGGGGTAGAACGATGCGTCTTCGGGCGCCTTTTGTTCTTCCAGGACGATCGGAAACAACGGCTGCGTCCTGCAAGAAGGGAATACCACACGATTCTCGACGGACGGGTCGACATCTGAACGTTGAAATTTTTCGGCGATGAATCTTAGAGGCGATGTCAGAATTGCGCACCGCTGCGCATTCGCTTAGCGTCGCGATACGCGTCGCCCATAAATCAACTTCAATTGGCTGGACACCGCACGACGCGGACCCTGGATCGCATAGCGAACGCGCTATCGCAATGTCTGGCATCGCGGCTAAAGCGTTACTGTACACCCTCCTTCCCCGCCGAAAGTTGATGTTTAGTGGCAAGTGATGCTAGCGAGGATAGATGAGAAGAACTGGCCAGATTTCGCGAAACAGTTTTCACTTCAGTTAATAATGGCAATAGTCAACCGAAGACCTCATAGCTACATATTCGCCATTAGTTTCGGCCCTAAGAAATGACCCTTGCGCAAGAGTCAGCCCTCCAGCCATTTGGCAGCCGAGTAAAGATCCCACAGTAGAACACCGAGAAGTGATCAGGAACCGCTGACACAGATAGAGGGACTACGGTAGCCGCCAGCGGCCAAAATTTATCTACGCTTGTTCTGCACAGTTCACCACTCGCCATTCGAAAATACAATGGCTGCTGAGAAGCAGCATTGCTTGTGAGTTAGAATATGCTAAAAACTGTAGAACAAAATCCCGGCCAAGAGAAGACATAAAGTGCTGATTTTGTAGTACAATAAGAGAAAGCATGTCAAATCAAAGTAGCAAGCAAGTGTGGAAAAGGATCATCCCCTACTTCAAATGAAAACTGTAATTACATTCGAAGGAGGGTGGATGTGGTTTAGTGGCACGAGGCGCCACATACCATGCGTGTGGCTCGGGAATCCCGACTCGTACGTAATCCAGGCAAACCAAGCTCAAGATCGCTACGGGGTTGGGCTAGTTGGTACCTCACTTGTCTGAAAGAAAAAACATTGACTCGTGCATCGGCTGGCCTCGACTCACAACAGCTTTCAATTGCCACTACGATTCTGAATAAAAATGGAATGCATGGCGCATCCCCAAAAAGGACTCATTAGCGTCTAGTGCTCTGTTCTTTCCATATCAAGACAGGAAATCTTGAAAGGAAAGCAAGGATTGAAGGTACTACGGAAATGAATCAAAAGAAGAAAAGAATCCAAAGAATTGAAATAGCCTCAAGGTCATTAACGGAACATTCGCAGAGCGGCGAACTGCACAAAGAACGCAAACTGGCATATAAATCAGACAGAGAAAGTAATAAAATTAATGGATAATTAGAGGATCTTCTTCTGAGAGAACTTGAAAAAGTAGTGCTGACACAGGAACGAGTTTCAAGGCCCAAAGGAAGGGAAGCCACTACTACTGAAATCCCTTAATAACGGCATATACAGAGCGAATAAGTCACAATAAGTAGAATTGAGGATGTAGTTGTGGAAAACTGTTGTATGGCAATGATAAAACAATTTTTATACTCTTTTCATCATTAAAGATGATCAGAACGGCAAGCTATATGCTGCCAAAACAAACGTCCCATTCCCATGCGCTTCCCTACCAATAAGAAAATTACAGGAAGCTTCGATTAACATTTGACGATTATAATTTTACAATAGTGGAATTCTTTTGTAATGTAGACGGTACTGCCTTGACTCCATGATTGTGATTACGGCCTCTGCCGGTTCATGGACGTCAAAATAATGACTTTAAAGCCACCAAAACCAGAAAGAAGGTGATTTGTTTACGGGATTTCCACAAAAATATCCACGCCAACCAAATGATGGGGAATCCTAACAATTAGCGGATACCTGTTCAAATATTGAAGTGATCATTCTGTTGTAAAGTGACTCATGTTATGCTTCCAGTTAATCAAATGACTAAATCAGAGAAAAAATAAAGAAAAAGAGAGAAGAAAATCTGACTAATGAATTACTCACGCGTTTTATGAACTTTCCGAGCATCGAACCACTCAAGGGAGTGGACTGAAAACCCGCTTGGTTCCAGCATGTTTTCTATTGACACAGACAAGCAAATATTGCCTGCAAATATTGTCTAAGCGGGAAGAGAAGACACCGATGCCTTTGGTGCGACCTTCAGGTCAATGATTTGAAAATTGCTCTTCCTAGCAGATGTCTTGTACATTTCCTTGACACTGGACATGTTTGACTCTAAACATGGATGGAGAAATCCAAAGGCGAAACGAACTTTTTAAATTATGATTCAATTTATTATGTTATCTATATTTACAAGCATACAGGATTATTTTCCAGACTATACAAATGAGAAAAGATGAAGCCGGAATAAAATAGCAGACACCATGAAATTCGCCAAGAAAATGGAACCACAGCACTTTTGGCACTAACCGTGGACGATGGAAAATTCAACTGAACAGAAACATTCATCAGTGACAGGACAAGAAGGCTAATCACAGACATTTTGAAGTTGACGCGACTTTCCTCTGCTAGCTAACTTATCTCTGTAACCAGATTAGCCTGCTTCCCACGTATTCCAGACAAAAAACTCAAGAGCAATTTGTCCTCTTGCAGGACAAATTCTCGGTAAAGCGTGCCAATCATAAGTTCAATGAACCCATCTAACTCATTCAAATTGCGAGCGAACTCATCGCCGACGATCTTCTGTGTGAGCATGGCAGCCATTTAAATTTAATATAGATCTTGCAAGCTATCGCCAAATTGCTCGAACGCCTCCATCGTTCGATTACCCCATGTTTCGGCCTGATAAAACCATATATCCCAAAATGGCATGGTATTCCTCCAACGAAGAACGAAAAAAAGCGAAGCTTCATGGTCGCACGCACCGTACCCTACGCAGTTCTGATCACAGAGAATAGGTCATCAGTTCTCACGAACCATAGCTCTACTATCCTTTAAAATGTCTGAGAAACTCTATCCCGTTTGAGTATAGAAGGAAATGAAAGGGAAATCGATGGCAGAGCTCAGTTCAGCATTGTATGATCCTCAAAAATGTTCCTCCTCTGTTCTTCCACTTTCTTCATCCATCGGTTTTGTTCGGCTTCGACACGTCCCAGGACGTCTGGAAAAAAAATTATAAAGAAGCCGCACAGCTCAGATCTCACCCAGTCCCATAGCACCTGTGGACCAGAAACCCTACACTTGAGATGCGAAATTTTCACCATATTTTGGTTATTTTGGGGTGAATCCCTACTACAAACTCTTGAATGAACACCACAGCGAAGAAGAAGTGAATCACCCATTCTACAAATGTACGGAGTTTTACTTACTTGGTTTACTGCTAGCTCTCGCTCGCACTGTTGTGGCTGAGGAACCTTCAGCAGAGGTGTCGACTGCTCGAGCAAAAATGTTGTCCTCCATCTGAATGCAAGGTGAGACTGATGCATATATGATAATGTAAACTTACAACATCACCCTCGAATTGTGACCAAAGTTCAAACTAGCTCACCTCATCGTTTTGCTGTCGATAAGTAGATTGACTGAACCTTTGCTTGCGGAGCATTGGATCCAAACACATCAGGAAAGCCATATACGTTACAAGCACCATAATTACACAAATCACAAATATCACAACAACCTGCAAACAAATTGAAATCAAATTTGATCAGATTATCAAAGATTGGTGACTGTTTTAGTATTTGAGTTTTTTTTTCTCATAAGCACACTGTTCTTTGTATAGAAATGCTCATTTTCTTTTTCACGTGTGCCTTTTGCAGACGTAATAAACTTATACTTATTGGTGTTTAAAAAGGCGATGTCCAGAGCTCAAAAGCAGACATATGAATCAGTACGGCTCCTGGAAGTAGTACCTCCACTACATTATTGAAAATCCTTGATCAAGTTTTCGCTAAGGTTTGATTTGCGAGCATGGAGCAGCTACAGGGGGCTTTACACTGAATAGACCTGTCACCGTCATCCCTCAACGTCTTCCCTTCCTTGAATGAAATTCATGCTAAGCGGAGGGCTTGACTACAGGCACTGCAACAACGGGTTAGGGGGAATTTATCTAAGCAGTGATGCGAAAAGCCACACCAACTGGATTCGTCAAGACCACATTTATAGTAAAAAGGCTCGCTACAAGAATAGCCCATGTTGAATACAAATCAACTTTAGCTCTCAAGAAGCACCCTTCTCATACAGTTTCCTACATCTACACTTCTCATATTTTAAGCTGGCCTGTGCAAAGAAGGAATGGTGATCAAAATGTAAAACGCGAATAACAAGATAAAAGAAAGGACCAGTTAAATTAGTGAGCTACTTAACCATCATTCTACTGTTTCGCTATTCCGAGGTATTAGATGCGCAACTCACTTTCAACATAACTGTGTTCCTGCTCTCGAATCGGCAGTCGCAATTGGCCAAAAAAGCATCCATGTGCAACTCGTCAACGACTTTGATCACCTCTCCTACACCAGACTGCGGATTAACTGAGAAAAAGCAAAGATAGCAAGAGCCTGGAAAGACTTGAGAAATGTTAAATGCTAATATTGCGCAGTTGAAGCATCTGACCCTACCATTTGGGCAGGGTTTGATATTTCGTCATAAGTGTAGTACGAGTCGATATTACTCATTCTGATCTGTGTGGTTGTCTCCAACAAAGTACATGGTACTTGGACAAACACATCGACATCGTGTGTCTTCGAAATTCGCCTAAATTGTTCGATTTAGCGCTCAGGTCCCACAATCAAATCAGAAATTCAACAAGGAATTTAACAACGTTAGAGTAAACTTTATTGCCAATAATAACGAAGACATCTCTTGATTAACAACATATCAAAAGAATGAAATCGTTCATATCTTCAAAGGGAGCTATGGTGGCTTTAAACACCTTTGACTGACTTCAGATGATTTGGAATGGCAGCCAATGTACTTGATACCTTACTAGACATCGTATCATTACAACAAGAATAGTATTCCTTCTCTCGATAACTTTGTTAGACGACTTTGCACTGTCATGTCGCACGTCCCCTTTACTTAGTATGCGCATACATTTCAACGGAGAGCTCAGCGTCTCCGATGTGACTTTAGCTGCTACAAAAGTCCCGCGAGCGAATGTTCAAGAGCTTACCATTATTTCGTACAACAGGGAACGTAGGACATAACTTATATAATACAGCTACTAACCAGGAAGGTCTTTCAGGGCGTGACAAGCTTTTTGAAAACGGTCTTTTGCATGATATAGGGGCAGATGCGGGAACCACAGAACCATGTTCAATTTTTCCTGAACGGCCCTCTGAATACCAGAAAAGGAGGTCCCTAGTTCGATTCCTCGTGGTAACAAATTTTTGCATTTCGAGTTGACGTGCCAAAATTCGCGCAAAATGGAGTTAGAACCAACCAGAACAATCAGAACTCCATTTTGCGCGAATTTTGGAACGTCAACTCGAAATGCAAAAATTTGTCACCAAGAGGAATCGAACTAGGGACCCCCTTTTCTGGTATTCAGAGGGCCGTTCAGGAAAAATTAAACATGGTTCTGTGGTCCCGCATCTGCCCCTATATCATGCAAAAGACCGTTTTCAAAAAGCTTGTCACGCCCTGAAAGACCTTCCTGGTAAGTCTATAAGAAATTTTTTACCCCAAACAGGAATGATATCTTCCAGTGCACGACTGAGGATTGAAAACTGAAGATTTACGCTGACTCTTTCAACATCAGTGCAACTTGCAGAATGAAAACAAAACTGTCGCCAAGTTATACTACTGAATAATGCGTTCGTTTTCGAAGATGAGTAGCGTGTGTAGCCGATCTTCCCGCCTCAGTGCCGTCATAGAACTAACCAGGAAACTCTTTCAAGGCATGGAGCGCTTTCTCAGAACGATTTTTTGCATGTTATAGAAACACCAAAAGGGAGTGATAAAAACATGTGGAAACCAGGGCCTGCGGACAGATCCCCACTAAACAAATTTCTGCATTTCTCCTTTTTTCCACTTTCTTGGCCCATATATGTCTAAACTTACTCAGTTAACCCTTTCCAGACTGCACTTTTGCCTTAAAAGTGAGAGGTCCATAAGGAGAGCAGGAATGAAGTTTTCGCAAAATACGTTGTAATGGGAAAAAAGGGACTAAGAAAAGTGAGTGTCAGGGCCGCGCCACAAGGGTTAAATCGGGCCTCGGTTGGGAAGGGTTAAAAAACCTTCTATAAGAATTTCAACTCTACTTCTGGCAATACAAGGGCCGTGAGTAAAAATGATCATCAGTTATATGCCACTACACCGTGCAAAGAAACTTTTTAAAAAGCACTCCATGTCGAACAAGGCTATCCTGGCAAGGGAAGTGGAGTCCTCAATTGAACAGCGACCGCAACGCCAAAAGAGGTCATCACAGGCTTCAAATCTACTACCCTGACAGAATCACCTCTAAAATTTTAGTGGAAAGCATCGTGCCACCGACACTTTCTTTGCTTTCTTTTTTTCTTCAGTAGGTCAATGCAGATTACTAAGATTGGAAAATGTTTGAGTCCAACGAACAACTGGTGGGTTGGAGTCCCGACTGTAGGCAACAATTCATTGCTGGCCAAGGAACAACATTTAGGCTGGTGTCAGAGTCCGCGATCCGTCGCAGGTTTTCGCTGATTTTCGCGATTTGCGCGAAACCTGCGATGGATCACAGGAGTTGGAAGTGCCCGATGATACTGCGAGGTGCTGTTTAATCCTGCTGCGAATTCTGCTTGACAGTGAAGATGAAAGACGACTGCCCTCATGATTCTACCTTGTTTGATATTCAGTGTTTCAATTGTTCAAATGGGGCACTTGCAATTTTTGCGATCCGAATCATGAGCATTTCAATGAACTGATAGACATTGAACATGAAACAAGTAGAATCAACAGTCGTCTTTCAATCTTCACTGTCAAGCAGAATTCGCAGCAGGATTAAACAGCACCTCGCAGTATTCATCGGGCACTTCCAACTCCTGTGATCCATCGCAGGTTTCGCGCAAATCGCGAAAATCGCTGAAATCGCGAAACCTGCGACGGATCGCGGACTCTGACACCAGCCTTAGCGTTTACACTGAACTATCCCAACAGGTATCAATGAGAGCCTTGAGCGCTTACGGAAGCCGTCTATCGTGGCGCGCACGCATATGCTTTCATGTTCATCTGTGGCCCTTCCAAAAGCAGCCTGGGGAGATTCCGGACTCCCGAGCTGCTTCCGGAGGGCTTTGTAAAATCCAGCACCCCAGCTAGACAAATTAGTAGATTCGAGCTCCTACAATGATAACATACTTGGCCACCAACTGAACGGTGGAATACTGCGGAATTCTAAAGCCCTTGAAATTGGCTAAGATTCCACCGTGGGCAGGAGACTCATGACGACTCAAGTTTGCTCAACATAAAGCCAAGGTAGGTGAGCTTTAAGCGTAGGGACCTCCCATCTCTCTGGCCGATACATATTGAAAGACACACATCCTCAAAACAACAGCATAGGTACACCAAGCCTTGAAATCTTTTAGATGGGAGCATAAACCTCATAAAAACACTATTAAACTGTAACGAATACTCTACTGAAAATTGTGATGATCTTCATCATGCCAAAACTCTGTTGATATAAGGTGTTGATAAAAATGAAGAAGAAATGAAGAAGAAATAAAACAAGTAAATCTCGAATCATAAGGGAAATGTGAAGAAAAAAAAAACGAACCTCTGCTGTGGCCTCGAGCACAAATAATGCGCAAACAGCGACTAGAGCGCAGGAACGCATGGCGTTAAAATCCCAGCCTCTTCTGGAAATGGATTCTTAAAAGTAGAACTATGAGAAAATCAAATCGAGAATTTATACGGGTCGAAAATCGTGATCTATTCCAATAAGGAAAGGGAGGGGTCCGTGTTTAAACATTTTCCAATAGGAGGAAACCCGTAGTGAGTGAAACCGCTTCGCTTTAACAACCTCAATCTGGAGCAGGATCAACCGTTGGTTAGTAGAATACCAACGCGATGTCGTATTTGTAGTTGATTAGTCAAGGGCATTATCTCTTGAAAAGAGTGCGAAAAGAGAGGGAGGTCGTGATTGTGAGTTTAATGGGTCGTTGTTGCGGGAAAGGTGGCCGCTTTGTAGACTTGCTTGACCATTTTGTCGAAAAATTCATGAAGTACACAAAAATAGTAGAAATGAGAGGATTCTGCCGTTTCTCTGGACATACCCACATACCCCGCCCGCTCGACGGTTGTTACTGAGTATAAAACGTGGCGGAAGGATCGTGTCGACTGGTTTCAGAACCAATACTACAGAAGCAGCCATGATTGTGACGGTAGAAGTGGTGGTGAGAAGGGAGGCGGGTATAGAGCCCCTCAAGGTTGATAAATGGTGGTGGTGTCGTATCCATACCACTTAGAGCGGTAGTAAAAATCTTGAAAAAGTCTACACCACGGTGAATCTTGCGCAGAATCCCTCATAGTGCGATGATTGGGACCTCTTAGACCGGCACGGACAATTGCATCAAATGCCCTGTGCCCCCTTTTTGTGAAAGAACCACAGCTAAATCAGAAAAAAAGAACAAAAACACGTAAAACAGGGCGCCAAAGTGTGAAACAAGCGTCCGCGATCGGACGGGTTTTGAATATCGTAACATTTTACCGTTGCATGAAATGCGTTGTGTGTGGATGCAGAGGAAAGTTTAGCAATTTTCTGCGACGTCGTGAATTGTGATTTATTTTCTTCACGAGCAGCTGTAGTCTCAGACTATTCGCAGAATTCCTATTTGTATTTCCTATTAACAATGGGAAGGCTTTCTGTTCTACGCTCATCTGGCTTCCGTTCTGATTTGTTTCAGTGAGCTTGAGCAAGCCTAGGGTAAGTTGGCATTTGAAGTCCATTATACGACTATTATAGAGCTTTTGGGCTGTCTGGAAGTAATGTTTCTTTGTTTTTGGCGGCACTATTCAACTATTACAACCCCAAAATCTCAAAATTTTATTTTTCGTCGAAACTTTGTCTATAGGGGTAATTCGGTGCCCTGATTACGAAAATGACATTCATTTTCAACGGGGGCGCCATCTGGCGCCAGGTGGCGTCACCTTGTCACGACAGTTGTTTTCACCAAACTCGATGTAAACTTCTGGGTAGGGTAATTTGGTGTCCAGATTACGAATATGACATTCATTCTTGGCGCTAGCTCCATTTAGCGCTTTAATCTCTTCGTCTGCGCCCTCCTAGTGACTAGATCGCGATCAGGACTAAGCTTTAGGAGAGAGGAAAGATATCAGTGAGTGAGCCCCCTACCCTGTGATCTCACACGCTCCATCTTCGTCACACGGTGCCTGATTCACTCATTCCGAGTCTCCCTATCCCCTAAGCTTAGTCCCAAGGCGCTATGTATAGGTGAGAGAGCCCAGAAAAGCGGGAAGTATGCGGTAAACAGCGGTAATGTCAAAAACGAATGTCATATTCGTAATCAGGACATCAAATAACCCCTATACAGAACTTTACACCGAATTTGGTGAAAACATGTGTCGTGACAAGGTGGCGCCAACTGGCGCCAGATGGCGCCACCGCCAAAAATGAATGTCATTTTCGTAATCAGGGCACCGAATTACCCCTATAGAGGAAGTTTCGACGAAAAATAAAATTTTGAGATTTTGGGGTTGTAATAGTTGAATAGTGCCTTTTTTCTTTTTAGACTTTGCTGTTTCATAAAACTTTGAATTAATTTGCCCATCTCCGAAAGCAAAAAATATTCTTTTCCTTCAATCTAACTTTTTCTCATGCACTTATTTTTTCACTGTTTTATTTTCAGATAGAACGCCAATTAGCAATAGCCCAACTACTCGAGCAACGTCGTCGAGCATATAAGGTTTTTTGGCATTATTCTTATGAAAGCGATTTCATCACATGCTGATAATTCTAAACACGTGAATACTTTGTTCTTATTGTGTTAAGGCGAAAAGCGTTGTTTCGCAGAAAGCCTAAGCCTCGCATAATGTCACGAAACCCCTTTCAACGTTTTTTTTTGCAGTAATTTGTCCATTTAGCTTGCTGAAGGAGCGTGAGAAGTTGAATTGGACGGCTTCAGGAGGAGGCGTCATGATGGCATTCTGCGCACTTTCTTCATATCATCACAAGTAGGTTACTTCAGAATCTCCATTCTCTTCTTTTAGCTGTCTGATTTGTTGCATTTTTTAAGGAACATCTTGCACTTGTTACCATTGTTTCCCACCGTGTCGTACTTGGGTTACAAAGTGCATTACTGCTACGGGAACAAAACAACTATCATAAATGGTTGGTTTCGCTTTCCAATCGCTCGGCCTCAGATATGGATTCCTTTAATTTAACTTTAGAACTTGCTGAAAAACTGCGCGTTAGCGACATCGATCTCATAGCTCCCACTCCACCATCTGTAGAAGACGTCCGAAATCGAATGAGGGAGCTGAGAGAATTGAAGCGGGAAGAAGACTTGTTTTTATGACGTCATTGAGCTACTGTTCCTTCTCCTGAGAGGTGCATACTTCTGTTATAGTTGTAGTGAAATTAGTGTACTTACCATGTTTTCTTATTTTGTTAAGTTTTACCAGACAATGTACAATAAACGGCGTCCATTGTAACGATTCGATTGAACGAGCCCGTTCCAACGGATTCTATTTTGTTTGATAATTACTAGAATTTGTTCCATGTAGCTTTATAGTTTACGCGATCTCTTTCGTTTTAATTCATGGTTCCGTATATTTTTCAGATGGGACAGTCGATCTCTACGGATCGCAGAGCAATCTCTGAGCTTCGCAGAGCAGCTGAGCTTAAAATGCTTAATGACGACTTTGTAAGTTTTCCTAGTGATTGGAAATTATAATAGTTGGTGCTAAAGCCATGAAAGCAAGTAACTCTGCTTTTGGGCTGGCTGAGCTATCCGCTGAATGACTGAAAAGAATCAAATCCGTTTCAATATTTCGCATATTCTTTCACGCCTCAAACATACAATCCTCTTGTTGACTGACTGAGCCAGCTATTCGAGTAACTTACTCCGTTATTTTCAGATGGAGGCCGAAATCGTGCTGAAAAATTTGCAGCTCGCACAGGAAAGTGCTGTCAAGGTTGGTGAAGTGTTGCTTTTGAGTATGTTTAAGCTCGTTTCTATTGTAGTGTTGCGTGAATTTCTTAGATTTTTTGAAGGAGTCTTCATTTCATAAGAATAGAAGTAGACCTTTTTCAGTTCGTTGAACGACAAGAACGTTTTACCTGGGAATTTCTCGGCGTCAGCTCAATGGTAGTCATTCTTTTAGCGGCCGGCGCTTTCAGTAAAAGAAAGGTTTGCATTTTCTCTCGATGCTACTATGTTGAATTAAGTTTCTCGTGTGAATCGCTATATATAAATTTTCAGTATCTTCAGGATTTCGCTGTTCCTATTGCACCTCTTATAATGGGACTTGGATATAGATATGATTGCGCTTTCGGAACCAATCATGAGCTGGTTAGAGGTACGTTGAATCCTTATTTGCTATTTTCAGTTATGATTAACTCGGTTACTGTAGTAGACTAAAATTCCGCAGTTAAGATTGTCATTTTGGTTGGTAATGAGGAAGCTATACGATAAAGCTATTTAGATAAAGCTGAGGCTATGCTACGAAAAAATGATGAACGATTGAAAATGATTGGAGGACCGTTGACGCTTAACGAGGTTGACGCATACCGAGAACGGCACTTTCAATGAGATTTGTAGAAATAGTTTGATCAAGGTATAAATGTCAGTCCAGAATTAATGCGTTTTCAATTTTCCCAGCACTATACAATGGTGTTGAGTGCTTTACTATACTGAGTGTTTCTGTACCCTGCAATTGAAGCCTCTGAAACACGCTCAGATATTTGATGTCTACAGTTTTGAACAATTTGTACGCACTAGTCGAAGCTGAACGTTTTTCATTGCATATGGGGTTTTTTCATCTTTATTATTCTGTGGACTTCCGTACATCTCCGCTGGGATTCCGTCGACGTATCCGATAACCGTCACGGCTGTTTCGTCGTAGCAAAGGACCGGCGCGTAATTTTCCATGATGTTTCGTGGTTTGCATCCGTTCGCCTTTTGGTTTTTCATCGCCTGTAGCATCGCTCTGAACGAATTTATAAGCGGAGAATTTGAATCGTAACCCATTTGCAATTTTAACCCATTGCGACAATGCGATTCTTCGCGTGTCTGCCACGTGGGACAGCGCACATTTTTGGCTTGACGTGGGGGCGTTGTCCTAAAAGACAGTCTTTTTGGCTAACTTAACCCGAGGGGCCGCAAAAATTTAGCGGAGACGAAACTTCAATAAGGCGGGGAATCGACGGTACTGAACGTGAATATGAGATCTTTCTTCAGCGCTGGCTTTAACTGGCACCGAATGGCGCTAGCACTTCTTTTGCTACCAATTTCGTTGCAAACTTACGAACAGCGGTAATTGACGGTCCTGAAAACATCAACCATTTCTTGGCACTGGCGCCAGGTGGCGCGAAATGGCGCGGCGCCAAAAAACGGGGTGGCACTTCCATGCTCAGGACCGTCAGTTAACCATGTCCGTAAGACTAAAGCAAAATCGCAGGCAAAAGAAACCGTGGCGCGAAATGGCGCGGCACCAAAAAAAGCGGATGGCATTTCTATACTTACAAGGAAGGTCTTTCAGGGTGTGCCAAGCTTTTTCAAAACGGTCTTTTGCATGATATAGAGGCACATGCGGGAACCACAGAACCATGGTTAATTTTTCCTGAACGGCCCTCTGAATACCAGAAAAGGGGGTCCCTAGTCACACCTTTTTCACCAGTTTTTCAATCAAAGTCTATTTGTAAGGGTTACTGACGTTCCTAATCATGAATTTGGTACTAATTATTCATGCTAACTCCATTTTGCGCGAATTTTGAAACGTCAACACGAAATGCAAAAACTTGTCACGAACTAGGGACCCTTTTTGGTATTCAGAGGCCGTTCAGGAAAAATGAACCATGCTTCTGTGGTCCCCATATGTGCCCCAATGTCATGCAAGAAACCATTTTGAAAAAGCTTGGCACACCCTGAACGACCTCCCTTGTTAGGACCGTCAGTTGCCCTTGTCCGTAAGTTTATAACGAAATTGGAAGCAAAAAAGGCGCCAGAGCCATGTGGCACCACTTGACGCCGAATGGCGCTGGCGCCGGACCACCGTGCCTATGGGTACTACGGAGCTAAGATATGCTTACTAGAAATTTCAAACTTGCGCTGTGTAAATTTTTTTGTGTTGCATCCCCACATGGACCGCATCCCCCACGGGGCAAAAAAGATGCGTACTCACAGCGAGCCGCAATGTCACCAATGGGCTAAAACGACAATGACAACAGTGCGGGGATGACTCAATGAGCGATGGGTTAGAGGGTATGGATCAAGCGTTGCGGCCAAAATCGCAAAACGACCCGTTCTTAGACATTTGACAATTTTTCAAACAGCTGTGGTGATCCAGCCTTTTTCCATCTTTCCGAAATGATCCATTAGTTTATTTCCTCAGAAGGTATCTTTTTTGCATCCGCAAGGTTTTTCAAAAGGAAGGGTCATATGAAAGAAGGAGGAAAGGAACTGTATAAGACGATAGCACGCATAGCCTGTAAGGAATTCGGTTGAAATGGGGAAACGCAAAAAACGAGCTCACTAAAAGCCTTCCTCGACATCGATCTCTGGTCCATAACGCTCGACGGGGCTCTTTGCCATCTCGACTTCGCCCCTCCTTCAACAGGACTCGTCGTTCCAAAGCATTCCGCAGTGATTGCTTCGAATTTAGGCTCTCCCTTAATCACTGAGTATCCGCACGGTGGATCAAACGAACAGAATTTGATCACCAAAAGACGAGGTTAACGAACCGGGACATCTCTGGTCACAGGGATAAGACCGACGTCAGACTTCGCGAATCGAGCGATTCGCTAGCGTTTGCGGTCGCGTAGCGGCCAGCGATTCGCTCAATTCGCGAAGTCTGACCTCGGTCAATGTTCTAATTTTCTAGTATCCTCTTTCAAATTGAGTGCTGGTACCTGTTGATAGTCGCGGGTGCTGAACTTGTGCTGGCCTCATCTAGAGGCCAGTCAGTGCCTTCCCGAAGACATTTGCTGAGTTCGGCATTCGTTATGCTTAACGTGCTGCCTTCGGTAGTGTTATTGTGCGACTCGTCCACTTGTGATAACCTGAATTAACTCTTTCGATGGGAGTTTTTGTCCAAAAATTGAAAACCGGTGGATAGTGGATGCATTTGCAAATATTCGACTTGAGTGACGTACTGGAAGCTTACAATAACGCATAGGGTCACTAGCCTTTGGAATTTCTCAAACTTGAACTGTAGCCGAGCGATCAATCAAGAATTCTTATCTTCTGATCTCACATGATTCTGTTTTCCCACTAAAGTGTTAATATTGTCTTTTCTCAAGCTCTGGTAAATGCTGTCACCCCCTTAGCTTCTATTGCCCGACAGTATCTATTGTGCATCCATTTGCATTTCAACTGGAATTCACACTCACCTGTTTGTGTCCATTTCGAGTACGGTGGCACTGGAATGCTCAGAGCCTTCGCAACGAGGCGTGGTGGCCGTTGACGTGGTCGGCGTAGCCGTCCCTTGCCGAATTTGTGTGAAAGCGGACGAGTTCGATTGTGAACTGTGGGGTGTGATCTCATCACTGAAATGAGGCAGATGAGATTCGTGTACCTATCAGTTCCCTTGTCAATTATGGGGGGAACACTTAATGTTGCTCAGATTTCTGCCACAACCGTTGCCTGTCGATTTGGCGATACTGTCGTGGAATGCCACGACCAAGGGAAGAGCCTGGCTCTCTTCTCTCCGTCGCGTTCGGCGTACCGGCCAACCGCGCCAAGAGTGAGCCATGCTAGATCGCCGAGGTCAAATCTTTCGCTGCCAATTGCGCGTCGGTCAGCACCCTCAGGAGGTCCGCCTGTCTCCAACTAGGCAATTTTCCCCTTCTTCGACCTTCCTTCTTATCGTGAATTCTTCCTTTAAAATAGGCGCCACTTTAATCTACGCTGCGGTGAAGTATAAGAGGTAAGCAGCGAGTAAAGAGATAATTTGCTTCGCGGAGAAGCAAAAGAAGTCCAAGTCGAGAGAGCACAAGTTAACAATACGACGCAGATAAGATTTCGAACAGCACTGACATTTCAGGGGTGAGTATGATCCAGGTACTAAGTGTTTGATGGGAATGGTCTTTCAGAACGTGCCCCGCTTTTTAAAAACGATTTTCGCAGTGTATAGGGGCACATGCGTGAAACACGAAGTTGTGATTCATTTCCTGAGCGGCCCACTGAACGCCAAAAACAGGTTCATAAAGCCCAAGTGTTACACCTTTTCGACAAAAGTTTTCGGTAGAAACCTACTCATAATAGTCACTGATGGCCCCTATGGTGGGTGATAAGACATCCATCACTAGCTGTGGATACTATTTTGGGACATCAAATAGGCGCCAATCAAAATCGCAAGATGTGAAGAATTTGTTTTAGCCTGTCCAAGATTACAGTAGATTTTAGTAGGCTTACGTTTCGGCCTCTTCGCCTTCGTCAGAGTCTAAAAAATGCAAGAATTTGTCACCGCGGGGAATCGAACCATGGACCAATCAATTATCCTATTTTTGGCGTCCAGGGGGTGCTCAGGAAAAAGGAGGCATGCTTCTACGTTTCTGTGTGTGTGTCTACACAATGCATAAAACCGTTTCCAAAAAGCGGGACATAACCTAAGAGAATTCCTAGTTAGTGACGCATTTCGAAGTGCAAATTTGGCCAACTCTGCCGTTACTTCCCTGGCCCTCAGAATCCACGGTAGGGACTCCCTCAATGAGTCCGAGCCCAGACCATCCTTTCAAGGGAAATGATTTTTATGACTTTAAGTTCCACAAGTTGACTCCTATCGAATATTGATGCTGTAACCCATAATCCTGATAGGGCTTGTCTTGCTAGGCCCGCCCGCACGCCCTGTCGATGTTACGCATGTGAAATCAGCAAACTTCTACTATTATGAGCCGAAGATTCCGATCTCTACTGTAAACCTTACCTTGGATCGGTAGTGTGACATCGTAGATGGCTGACACTCATCGTCTGGAAGAGGGGACGGAGGGGTCGTCCTGGAATGAAAGTGCTTTTCATGTTGCTCCATCGAAATCTATTGATTATCTAAGACCTTTTTAGTGCAAACAATTTTTATGTAAGCGCATGGTCTGATGGCGAGTAGCTTAAGTAAACTCTTGTTGAGATGGAAAATGAAAGCAGCACAGTCACTTATGCTCATAAGTTTTTTTTGAGTTTGCAAAGCAAGGCGCCCGTATGTCGAGAGAAATTGTCGATGCGGTTCGTGTTGATAAAGGCCGAACCTTCCCCATTTCGTGGCAATCATCTCAATGTATTGGATACAATATGTTTGCGGGTGTAGATCCAGGTCACAGTATGTTGAGACCCTTACATGGAAAGTAAGGGGAGGGGGAAGGGGACAAAAATGATGTTCAAAGCGAAAGCGTGTGTGAGGAAACGTCCGTGATAACTGGTAATGGAGCAAAAATGTAGCGGCAGCAGAGGCGGCACTTCAAATGGAAGCCCCTGTGGGGTCCGGTGAACATCGACTCATAAATCTGCACGGGCCTACTACAATTTTTTGAACTAAACTGCTGAACTCTTTCTTCTTCAACTCGACGTCTTTTACATCGACGAAATTTGTGAAGAGAAGAATTTAGTGGATATGTAAATATTGCCTTAAATAGTGAGTGGTTCCAAAAGACATCTGAAATTCCTGACAACTGAGACGTTTTCATGGGCAGCCAGGTTCCTTATCAGGGAGGGAATGAAAATGTTCCCATGTTCATGAATCGTAGTGGAGCAGAGCCACAACTGCTAGAAGCGCGCAATACCGGGCTTGCAAGATTGAAACAGTCAGCTTTGCACTCTTTCGAAGACCGTGAACATAATGGCTGGAGGGTGGAGCGGTCTCCGTGACGTCATCGGGTGTCACTGGTGCCAGTGAAGCCCTGTGACGTCATCAAAACCGCTCGACCCTCCAGCCATCGCGTTCACTGCATTCAAGCTCACTCACTCATTGCTAGACTTACTGTGGGTTACAAAAACCAGCTGGATCTTTAGCTGACCCTCACAGTTAATACCAAGAGGTTATAAACATATGTATAAAGACGTCTACAATGTTGAATAGAAGCCGAGTGTATGGCGCGTCCCAGGAGGATCGCTTGAACAGCTCTAGTAAAAACGAAATGCGAAGTAAGTTATAGTTATACGGACTGCACCGTTGCAAGGTGCCAGCACATGTAAAAGCTTCGTGTAATGTTTATAGCCAACACAAAAGTTAATATAACTGTAACAATACTACTATACCAGTATTAGAAACTTTGACTAGACAGATTCGCAACGAATTGAGCAATGCATTGGACCAGATTGGACAATATGGCACACACTACACAGTACTGTACACAGAACACTGAGCAAACATCTTACATGACATGAAATAAGGCGTTAGTATGACAAAACAATTTAGTGTTATACATTCAAAGCAGGTAAACAGTTGGCATTGCTAGAATCACAGAAAATCCTTTGATAATATTGTTAGAAACATAAGCGACACAGCAGCTTAACATAAGAGCTCCGCTATGCACTTCTGGGGACCAAAACCCGCTAGGCGTAGCACGTCGTCCCACCGGGATCAGCTATTCGCTAACAGATATGCATATCTTCGGGAAGGAGAACTTAAGGTTGTAAATCAGATGAATCTGTAAATTACTATGTAGGTAAGGCGCACATTCAAACGTTTCCATGACGCTGAGTGGGTGTCCAAGGCGTGGCGTACTGCTGGAGATTAGCGCGAACCCCTACGGCTACGTTTCTAAATTAAGTACGGCACAAAAATGAAAGGCATGAAACGTCTATAGGGCCTGCCCATCATTGATAGAAGTGGAACAAAGCAAGAATTCTGTAAAAACAGCCCATGACTAGCCAAATCTTCAGAGTGCTCTATGTCGTAGAATTAGAAGAGGCCTGCAATTTTCGAAGGTTTTCGGATCACCTTGTCGCATATGGCCCACGAATTGCATCGAAAATACTGGCTTCATGGGCAAGATGTTCGATCAGCTTATTGACAGGCAGCTCCTCGATGGCGTCAGCATCAAATCGCGCCCTGGGCCGTGTACACCACTGCTACCGGTCAGCTCAGCTAGCACGTCACTATCTACAGAGCGGTACTTCTGTGGCACATGGGAGGGGGAGGGACGGTGTCATCGTTTTCTTGAAGCGGTCGCGCTCCGACTACTGGTCACTGCAATAATGTCTCAACTCAGCTTTGGTTGCGTAAGGGGAAATGGTGTCTGGATGGAAAGGCCATCTACATGACGGGATTGATCAAATCTCGCCCAGGCGAAGAAAATCGGTTCATTACTCCGGGGTTGATACTTTTACCGGAGCCATTCTGGGAAGAGAAACGCGCCCTTAGAAGGGTCAGCCGGCCCCGCGTTGTTGTGTAGACCCGACTTTACTCAGTTACTACCACGAATCTAAATATAAGCAGAACGTGTGGTGCACATAAAAAAGATAAAGCAACGTAGGATCATATATTGTGCATACAGTAGTCTTGCGCATCAATGAAGCTACTAGCAATGCCTTTTTCGGCCGATAGCCTACACTTCATCATACCTGAACTTAGATATTCCTCAAACTCTCAGTTCACATCACAATTTATTTAGACGCACTTCTCTCTTAGAAGCTAATAACCTCGTTTCCTCCTCACCTTAGAGATGAGCGTCCAACACTGTTACTTCGTCTAGATTCATGCGACCTCACCCATATAGAGAAAACCTACCCCTAGAAACAAAAAAATTGTTACTCTGAAAATTTTTCGAGTATGACCGAATTCCAAGCAAACTTTCAATTTATTATAAAAAAATTTTACAATTCAACAAAACAATCAAACGCATAATAAGAAAAGTTTAAACAGATTCAATGCTCACATGATACCCTTCTGGAGTTGCGAAAACCTCAACTGTGGAATCAATCACTGATTCCACTGTCTATTGGGACAACCTCCTCAAATTTTCCTCAAATTTGACGCGTTTCTCTCCATATTCCTGGCTCTTTTTCCTGCCGAAGGTTTCCCTACCTTCTTCCATAGTGTTTCGATGACGCTCAGGACATGTGGCTGAATTGTCCTTCGTTGAAAGCACGCCATGCTGGCGAAACCACTCCTTCACAGTGGAGGTGCGATGCTTTTGGTCGCTCCATCGCTAGAAGGCGAAGACTTAGCGTGCAGTTGCATACGTGTGGATACATAACACCTTCCAGAACCTAACTTTATACGTCCGCCTTCACACC